CACACACACACACACAGACGGTTTCTGCTGAGACAGTATTGCCACAAGGCGCAGTCTGAGATGTCATATCACACAATATGTGTATGTAAATGTAACATTTATTTCTTGCTATTAAAGCTGTCTAAGCTGTCACTGTTGTTGATATTTTTCATCAGGGTTCTGCGAACCTTCAGTAGTAATTATGTGTCATGTGCACTGTAAAACTGTCACTGACTCTTTGTAAATTAAATCTGTTTTCAGAAAGAAATGTCACTCTGTGTCTTGACTTTGGGTTTGTGCATAAATTTGGGATATCTGTTTATTTCATTTGTGGAACATCTTGTCAGTTGTGCTTTTCAGCAAGTATTAGAAAAATAGCATCCTGGTAAAAACGGTTGAGCAACATCATCATATCAAAAATTTATGACAATTTTCCTCTCTTTATGCTAAGCTAAGCTAACTGGTTGCTAGTTGTAGCCTTATATTAAACAAGTAAACAAACAAACAATAGTGTGTTATGAATGAATACCCATGTTCCCAGACTTTCCATCTATTTCTTTAAAAGCTATTGGTACAGAACATCATGGCATAATGTTTAGTATCAAAAAACACGGTCAGAATTTTTTAGAATCATTCTTTTTTCTGCTTTTGGCCCTTAAAGCAGTTTTTGTGGTATCACACACTTTTTAGCAGATATACATTACTTAGTTGTTCAAGTATTTTTTTGCAATTCTATATATCATCACTGTATAACAAACATGCTTATTTAATTACGTTAAGACTTAACATCTTTTTTAGTTTGAGTTTCAATCAGTCTGAAAGAAAAAAAGTGAATATTTCCTAGGAAGAAAAGAAAGATATCAAACCACAGCATCAGGCTTTTTGTTTGTTTGTTTGTTTTTGCTTTTTTGCTTTCAGCTGTGGCTCTTAGTTTAATTTGTTTCTGCCCTGCTCTGCATCCTCACTACAGTAAAGTGCTGCTGCATGACTAACAGGTTCACTGAGGGCAGGGCCGGCAAGTCACTCACAGCCTGAGCATCAACTGTGCACTAAACTGATTCTAAATCTGTACCACAACTCCATCAGTGTCTTCAATAAATAAACAAAAAGCAACACAAATTCTGCAGCCCTGCAGTTCATCACAGGCACTTCATGACACTCAATCCCTCAGATGCTTTTTTATGAGATACACATCAGACCACATCAATCAGTTCATCTTTCTGTCCCCGAGCACTTTATCCAAGAAAAGCAAGTAATACCCACTGCCGAGGTACTGGGCTTTTATCAAACATCTCCTCCACTATATACGGTAGAAATAACTCTGACATGATAGTCTGTGACTCAGTACTGATCTGTGGATTAAAAAGGATCAACTGAAAGTCCATCTCCTATTTTTATAATAAATTATTGGTTTAAGTCCTTTTTTTTCCTGGCAAAAACATCCTATAATTTTACTCAAGCACTCACTTGTACATTGATGGGTTTCCAGCTGTTTACATGTGACAATTTGATCCTTTTCTTTTTCATATGAAACTAAACCTGTAGCCATAGGGTTTGGACTGTTGGTCAAACAAACTGTTGCAATTTCTACTGTTTTTTGATTAACCAAGAGAATAATGATTCTTCTACAACAAAAACAATAGTTAGTTGCAGCTCCACACTATTTTCTTGTTTTGTGTTTGCACAGAAAGAAAAGCCTTTATATTTGAAAGGTGTTTAAGACCTTGTCCATTAAAGAGGTACAGGTATAAATTAACTGAAACTTTAAAGCAGAAGATCCTTTTTTCAAAGAATGCTCTCCCTCATGTTTTTTGTTTGTTTGTTTGTTTGTTTTGCACTTTTTCCAGTTCAAGCTTCTCAAACGGGACAGTTTTACTATTTTTCTATTTTATTTGTTCATTTATTTCTAATAGTAAATGTACTAAATGACTCATCAGTTCAACAAAAAATTATAATCAATACATTCATTCATAACAAAATATACTAGTTTAAAGTTTAATCTTGTTATCTAAACATGCCACAGCTCTCCTCTGATGTTAAGGTGTCATATCCTAACATTCTCCTACCTCCCCTTAGTAAAATACACTTTATCTGCTCTCAAATATGCTCTGATAAATATTCTTTCAAAGTCAACAGCATCTCCCTGATAACATTATGACTTTACATAACACCCAACGAACAGGTCAGCGAGCATTTTAGATTAAAAAAGACACCGGTTTCACTCACAATAGAATAAGAATAATCTGTGTGTGTGTGTGTGTGTGTGTGTGTGTGTGTGTGTGTGTGTGTGTGTGTGTGTGTGTGTTCTACATTTATGGCTTCAACCACAAAGTTAACGATCTAAATGATGGTTGAGACTTGGTTTTAGGGTTAGCATTGGATTTGTTGTACAGTAAGTGTTGGGGTAATTAACTCTGTTGTAGTGAGGATAAGGGGCTGGAGGACGTATGAGGTCAATGAGAGCTCTGACAAACATAGTAAAAGAAGGCTGCATGTGTGTTTGTGTGTGTGTGTGTGCTTGCAACAACAGCTGCAACTATAGTCCCTTCTCTTGCAGCTCAGTTTCCCCAGGGATCCCAGCCCTGGACGCTGACTGTCTGACCACCTCCTCCTCAGTCCCTCCCTCCCCCTTCTCTCTGCTCCCAGATAGTCAGCTGTCGCTCTCTCAGAGCCTCACTACACTACTCCCACCCCAAATCTGGGGCACGCAATGCCTGAGCACAGTACAGTTGTACAACTACACAAGTCAGAGAGTCTGCAGAGCTCACGAGGCCCAAACACAAACAAGAGGTCATGTTACGATTCAGTAGTCAACTGTGGCTGATGGCCTGAATATACTGATGGGGCATGTAAGATGATCATATTTTAAAAAAAAAAAAAAAAAAAGGATAATTTTAATCGTGGGTGAATAGGGAATGCAATGTATGAACATGCACTTTTGTGTGTGCATGCATGTTTCTATGACCCCTCTGGATCCCACTGTAGGTTAATTTCCTGCTAAGCATTCGTCTTTCAATAAGCCTTCAGCTGTGCAGCCACACAGCTCCATCTTGGCCTTTAGGAATGCGCTCACGTTTCACTTTTTATATTCGTCAGCAGCTAAAACTCCAGAATTGTCACTCAGTGCAGCTTTCTGCAGGTTCCCACAAGAAACATGAGACCTCTCCATATACACACTCACACATGCTAAAGCTAGCCAAACCATAGGTCATTTGTAGTAGTACATAAACACCCCCACTTTTGGAAATGAAAGGCTACATCTTAAAAGCCACAAAGCAGAGCCAGATTTGGCAGAGAGATAAATGCAAGAGTTAAATCTGGGGCGAATTATTTGGGATTAAACATCTGGCCGCTTTGCAGTGCAACGCTTATCATTCAAGATAAGTCTCACCCTCTCTTATTCTGTTTATGCATGCAAAGTGGAACTTCACAGGCACAAAATGATGTTGCATTAAACATTGTTAACGCAGGCTTGTAATAAGGTGAACCGTATTGCACACAAAATGTATTCATAATGCTCCAGAAAGTCCAACACTTGCTATTTTTATGCACTTATGAACATATGCTCAAAATGCATTTTTTTGGATGTGCACAATTAAACATGTTCATTGTGTGCACCTGTAAGAAGCATGTACAAGAAGATTGGGTAAGAATTTTAGTAACATATAAAAGTGTAGAATAGATAAGATGAATAATGATTTGCAATATAAAATACAGGAAATATCACAGTCAGTGGAGCAGATGTTCAGAAATGTCCTCTTGCAAAGTAGGTTATATAAACTTGCTGAAGTGTTAACGATACATATATTACTGTAAACAAGTCCACACAGCCACTTTAGACTTGAAACAAGAGCTTCAGCCAGACCAGTGTCAACACTCATTTAGTACACTGAAACTCTAGTATGTACACCATAGTCATTAATCCTTTTTGTCAATTTTCAATAAAAGATGTAAAATATTCTTAGGTTCAAGCTTCTCAAATGTGCAAGTTTGATGCTTATCTTTTTATATATGAGAGTGACCTGAATATCTTTAGGATTTTGAATAAAACAAGCATTTTTAATGCATGAGATTGAGCCTACACATAAATCTGCAGGCATATCAGTAGGATACATCTCCACTGAAAACCTATTTATGCTAATATTGAATCACTGCATAGCTCAAATTCCATTCATCCATTAATTATACACCGCTTATTCCTCACTAGGGTCACTGGGGGGCAGGAGCCTATCCCTGCTGACTCAGGGTGAAGGCAAGGGACATCCTGGACAGGTCGCCAGTCTATCACAGAGCTACACTTAGAGACAGACAAGCAAGCACACTCACATTCACACCTACAGACAATTTAGAATCACCAATTAACCTCAATGTGTTTTTTGAACTGTGGGAGGAAGCCTGAGAACCCACACACCCACCCATGCAAATTCCACACAGAAAGATCCTGAGTGTCCTCACCGGGACGCAAACCAGGGACCTTCTAGCTGCTAATTAATCTAATTTTACAATGTGCACAGACTTTATTTTATCCATTCAGCGTCAGGCGGTAATGTGAGCAAAACATAAATCTACAGTACGTCTTGCTGGGCTGATTAACTGCAGCAAGGATGTTTTCCAACCTTCTCCACAAGTGAGAAAAGTTTCTGAACTCAGAAGACTGATCCAAGCAATGCTGAATATTTCAACCACACAGAATGTGGCACCAATTTTATGTATTTTTTTCAGTCAGACTGCAACATGAAGCTCCCCGCAGACCACCCTCCTCTGAAGCTGTGATTGATGTCTTTAGGTGCTCTGACAGGTGAACCTAATACAGAGGAATGTTTCCATGCTTTGATCTCCCTGCTGCCAGCCAGTCTTTAAAGAATCTGAGGAATTTAAGTGCACTTGTACAAATGTAGTCTGATGTTGTTGCTCTAACTCTACCGCAGACTGGTAGAAGTGCTGTTGGTGCTGTTGTTTCAGGGCTCTCACTCCT